GACATGATGTCCTGGGTAAAAGGAACTGCTCTAAGTAGGCCTTCAGTCACATGGTGAGATGTGGGAGCAGGGAAAGCGTTCTAGAGTCCCACGGTTAAGTCTCAGTCTCCTAGGGAGCCTTTGCCTCTGGACTGTGAACTTCACATGTGCTTCTCAGTCCCATGTCCCCCCCTGCTCCCTTAGGTGGGACAGGATGGCTAGAGCAAGCTGGAGTTGGGTATTTCCTCAGGCTCCGAGAAAACCCTGGCAGGTGATGTCCTGGCTGAATAGTTTCTCCTGAGAGCAGACCATGTTAAGAATAGAATGTTCCAGTGTGTTTCAAAAACGGTTCCTTTTCCCCGCCCCCTGCCGGAAGCACAAGGAGCTTTTTCTCTGAAATTCCTTCTGAGAATCCAGTCAGGCTCTCAGAGGCAAAATCCCCACAAGTGTGGGAGCCCCCTTAAGATTGGGTCGCCCCGGAGTTTTTAACTCTTGCATTGTCCACACTGAGCCTCCAGCAATTCGTCAATCATGGTTCAGGTTTTCCTACCCCAGCACTGGTTGCGGGGCAGGCTCCAGCTCAGACCTTTTGCTCTGGTGAGCTGTGATTCTCTGTTGACCTGCCTGTCTGTCCCTCCAGCCGTGGGGGCAGCCGTCTGCCCTGCGACCTCACTTCTCTTAGAGATCTAAGAAGAGTTGTTGGTTTTTCCAGTTTGTCCAAGTTTTTCGTTGTCGTTAGGACAAACTGGAGTCTTCTAACCTCCTCACATGCCAGACCAGAAACTGGAAGTCAGAATTTTTTTTCATTTAAGCCCATTCGAGGTGGGTTTCTGCTACTTACAAACAACAGAATCCCACTGAAAATGGTCATACTTGGGCAGCACTTTTCCATTTATGAGCAGTCCCCCAGCTATTAGCTCTTCTAACGAGTACATCAAGGCCTAGAGATGAGATGTGATCACCAAAGTTCAAAAAAGGAGGAAAAAACAGCCTGGGCCTCAGCTCAGAGATAAGTAATCCAATCCCTTTATTTTACATGTAGAAAAACAAGCCCATATTCTCATACATTCTTGGTGAAGCTTTTTTAGAAGATGATTTAACAGCACCAATCAGTTGTCAATGTACAGAGCCTCTGACCCAGCAATTCTACTTCTAGAAAGAGATCCTACTCACACATGGGCACCAGTCTGCTCATTGTGGTACTATCTCTAAGAAGAACCAGGAACAATCTGCCCAGCAATAAATTGAAGATTAAATTGCTTATTGTGTACACTGCTCCAGAAAGCTTCACAGCCAATAAATAAGAATGAGGTGGACTTATATGTACCCTATGGAAGTTCTCTAAGACATGGTGTTTGGTGAAAAAAGAAGGTCTCATAAGAACATGGAGAGCATGATCTCATTTATGTAAAAGAAAAAATAAGGAACTGATACATGGGCAGGTGTGCACGTGTCGGTACACAATACAGACAGAGGATTGAAAGGGCTGCACACCCGGCAGCCTCAGAGGTTACCTCTGGCAAGGGCATTGAGAATGAACAATTTTCGTGTTTCGTTTTGTGTCTGTCTGCATTGCTGCAATACTTAAGAATGCGTTCCTGTATTATTTGGCCAGTAGACCCACAAACAAATAAAAACCAGGCGACGGGCAGAACACCCTGCCCAGGAACGCACACTGTGGTCGAGGATGATCAGGTCCAGAACTCAGACTTCCTGATTCCTCCCCTGGACTCATTCCTCCACCGTCTCTGAACCTCCACAGCTGTTTCCTTTACTCACAGTCCTTGTAATCCCAGCAGCCGCCATTTATCTTGGCGTCAGGTCACTACAACCCTGAGAGGTACAGACAACCCTCATGCATATTTTGCAGATGAGAAGACTGAGGTCCCAGGAGGGGAACCTTTGTATTTGGATTTGTAACTTTTGCTCTAATCCACAGAGAAAGACCTTTGTACTCCTGCTTCCTGATCCCTCACACCCAGAAGCCACTCAGGAAACGCAGGTTGACCTGAGAGAACTGACCTGATACTCCTCCTCTGTAAGGCCCTCAGCCAGGGCATGCTGGCGCAGCTGGTCGGGGTCCTGGGCACGGAAGAGGCGGCTGAGCAGGGCATAAATGTAGGGGGCCTCAGGGGAGGTCTGCAGCAGAACAGCCAGGCCTCCGTACCAGGCGGCCCGTGACAGGTGGTGGGCATAGAGGCGCTCTGTGGGCGACAGCAGGCGGAAGGCCTCACGACAGTCCAGGCAAGACACGCCGATGTCATTGGGCAGGATGTACTGGGTGTCCGCCATGGGCCCTGCTGAGAACCATCACCATCATCACAGCCATGATTTACACACACCAACTGCACACCTGGCTCTGCACTCTCATGATCTCATTTAATCCTCCCAAAAGCCCATGAGAAAGGGAAAATACCATCGTACCCATTCACCAGATATGCTAACTGAGGCTCAGAGAAGGTCAGGTGACTCACCCAGGGAGATTACAAAATACACTGGTAGGCCATGTTTGACCTGAGCCACTCAACCTTAAAGATTGAATCCAACTACCCGGTATTACAGATGGGGAAACTGAGGCCCAGAGAGGCCAGGAGCTTTGCCTAATCACGCAGTGGAGGAGTCAGAAGCAAAGACCCGTATCTCTAGACTCCCAGCCCAGACACCTCTCGGTCTCACCTTCTCCTCCTCTGAATTCTCCTGCACGTTCTTCAATTCCACCCACCACTGTGTTCATAAGCACAGAGACCCGGGCTCCCAGCTGGAAGACCCAGGTTCCAATCCTGGCTCAATTCAGACTCCTAAAATCAAGTCAATTGTCTCTGTCCCTCAGTTTCTGCCTCTGTAAAATGGGGGTGATAACCCCAAACTCACCAGGTCGGTGTGCAAATTAGATGAGGTCACACCGGATGGAATGCACCTATAGCAGTAAATGATTTTCCTTGTACTCTTTTCCTCTCTCATTGCTCCTAGGATCTGTCCCACTCTTATCCCTCTAACGGTCTTTTCTTCCGCCCTCCATACTCCTACCCTCTCCCTGTGCTCGGCCACAGGGAGCTACAGAGCCACAGAAGTTCAGAGCTGGAAGAAAACTCATTTTACAGATAGGGAGATTGAGGTTTAGAGAGGCCAAGCAACTTACGACGGTCTCACAGCCCCGCTGGAATCCGGGGATCTCCCGACCCAGAGCATCTTCCACACTGCCTTCCCTTGCTGGGGACGAGTTTCCAGCCTCCCCCGCCACTCCCGATGCTCCGCCCCGACAGCACAAACCCCCGGGTTCTGAAAGGGATGTTAACCCTTCGCTGCCCGGAGCATTTCTTGGCCTCCAGGCCGCGATGAATTTGGAAGGGGTACCGGATGGGGGGCAGAAAGAGAATGATTTTGTGCTCGGTCCAGACTCGCCCTGTCCCCCGAGTGTGACACACTGTGACCCCGAAACCCGGGCGCCGGGCCTCACCTGCTGCAGCTGCTCCGATTGCAAACTCACTTCCTGCTTCCGGCTCCCCCATTCATTGGGGCTCGGCGAGCTCCGCCCTGCCGTCCAATAGTCGGGCCTCGGAGCCCTGATGGGCGTCGGCTACAGCCAACAGGCGCGCCGAGTAGAGCTTCGTCGGCCCACCCACTCCCCGCCCCTAAGAGCTGCGAGGTCAGATACGTAATGGCCTCGGCGGCCTTGGCCTTTTGTCCACGGGCCGAGGTCGCGCGGCGGCCAGGAACCTACGCGGACGGCCTGGCCGTGGCCTAGTCTTGGCAGACCGGGCTGACAAGATCCCCCGAGTCCAGGTGGGGCAGCGTTGATGTCAGGGACGGAGCATCAGGGATTCCCACCCACCCCGCTAGCCCCGACCCCGCTCTCCTTTGGGGTGTTTCTGAGTTCCTCCAGCTTGGGTTTTGCAGGTGGGAACCTGCATCATGGGCGTGATGTGGCTCCCCCTTCCTCACTGGATTCAGGAGCCGGGAGGTGAAGACTGCAAAGTGCTCAGTGCAAGGGATGGAGGCTACAGGCGAGCGGGCTGTAGATGCCAGGACCTATAGATGGTCCCACCCGTGTGGGGCGCGGAGAAACGCTCTGAGTGCATCACTGCATCGCCACTTCTCACCTCGCCGTGGGCCTGGAGGGCAGCCGCTAGACATCTCTGAGCCTCGGTTTTCTCAGCACAAAGGGGCGAGGGGCCTGGCAGTTTCTTGGTGCTGGCACCGTGTGCCTGATGGATGAGAAAGCTGCCTGGGCTGCCCAGGTCAGAGCCGGGCCTGAGGTCCACTGTCGCATGTCTGCACAGACTCAGAAGAAGACAGCCTGGCTCCGGCACTGCGTCTGCAAGTGCCTGGCGCCACGCGTGGGGAGCATTGTGAGGGCCCCAGGTGAGAGTCAGGGCGAAGGCAAGCCTTGTAGAGAATCAGGCCTCTACTGCCTACTGGCTGTGTGTCCTTGGGTGGGTCCCTCTACCTGAGTCTTGACTTCTTCAGCCAGAAAGCCAGGCTAATAATCCCTCTACTCCGAGGGATGTTGTAGGCTTGAATGAAGTGCTGACTAGGCAGTGCCACCCCCTAGTGTTGTGCAGAGACACGTGTGGGAAGAGGGGATGCCTGAAATCCACACACCCTCCTTGCCAGCCTTTGCCACACCTGTGTCTACGCCCAGAGCATCATCTGCCCACCGTGCGCACCAGTTTCTCATTCACGAAGGTGCCCAAGGACCTACTTGACACAACAGTGCCACTAACTGTTGGCTGTGATGATGATTATCATTATAGAGAGGAGCTCAACTGATTGGTCTATGTCCTTAGGAAAGTTACTCTTCTTCTTCCCTGTGCCTCAGTTTTCATTGTCTTTTAAATGGGTATAAAGTCTTCCTTGACTTGCGTGAAGTTGAAATGCACACTGGTAAAGGAGGTAGTGCTGTCCATTGCTACCAGTGGCAGCTCAGGCCAGCAGAAGATCCCAGTACTTCTGAGACCACCCCCCCCACCCCCCCCCCCCCAACCACGCTGCATCACTCACGGAAGTCCTGTGCCAGCAGCTTGACATGGAGGCTCTCATTTAATTCTTGTAAAAACCCTGAGATAGGATATCATCATTGTGCCCACTGTACAGATGGAGAAACTGAGGCTAATAGGTTCACTGATTTCCTTAAGGCCACTCAGCATGTCCTCAGGTATCCTTGAACTGGGGTCTAGCCTTACTCAGACCTTCCACCACAGTTGCCTTCACCTGCCCCGATACACTCACACACACACACACATACACACACTATCAGAGACAGCAGTTCACTCACTGGCGTCACAACTGTCCCCAGCTTTGGCTCTTTCCCAGAGGACTGAAGAAAGGGTAGGTGAATTAATATTAAGGACATACTATGTTACAGGTGCCCTCCATACATTCACAACCATTTGGTGACATAGGGACTGTTACTCCACTTAGTTAAGGAGACTGAGGCTCCAGGAGCTGGAAAGGGGCAGAGCTGGGCCAAGACCAGGCTGTCTGACCCGCTCCACCACGACCTCCGAGTTCCCCCTCGGGTGGTGACTGTGCCCTTTGCTTGTCTCTCCTCCCAGAGTCTGGGATTCCTTACTAGAAATGGGATCAGAATGTTCCCGTCTGGTTTCCAACCAGATCAGAAGAGAGAACAGCTGAGAAGAGTTGCATCCTAGTGCTGTGTGTGTGTGGAGGAGTTGCAATGCTCCCACATCCCTCACAGCATCCCCATCTGGGCTCCCCCACTGTGGCAGTGTGAGGCTCTGGAAGCAAGGATCCGATCACATGCTCCTCTTGTCACCTGCAGGTGCCCTCTGTCCTCTCAACAGCCCCAGGTCTGGTCTCTGTGGCCCCAGCCAGCTGTGTGGTTTAGGGCAGGTCCCTCCCCTTGGAATCTGCTCCCTAAGGCTCCGGCGGCTGTCTTCCACTGGGAACGATGCCCAGGTTAGGACTGTACTCATAGTCTCTTCTTCAGATGTTTCTATCTCCGGAACCTCCATCTACCTGTCTTCCTAGCTCCCTGCCCCCAGGAACAGTCTGGGGGCAACCCCAGCAGCACCCCAAGCTTGCCTTGGCTCTCAGGGAGAGGTGACACTTAGCCACAATGAACAGGGGTCCAGTTCAGTCTTGGCCTCCATGGCAACCGCAGCCCACCAGGCCCCAGCCAGGTGTCCACCCCTCATTCCTCTTTTCTGTCCCTGTCACACCTTTGCCCATGCTGTTCTCCTTACCTGGGCTGCCCTCCCAACTCCTCCCACCCCTGTCCAAGGAAAGCAGCATGGCGTGATGGAGAAGAGGGCAGGCTCTGAGGCCAGACTGGCAGCCGTGGATTTGAATCTGGCTTGGTCACTCTCTAACTCTGTGACTTGGAGCATGTGCCTTAATCTCCCCGTGCACAGAAAGGCTGACACCTCGCCCCCTGGGTTACTGTGAGGATTAAATAAAATCTCCAAGAAGCAGAGCCTGGTGCCTGGTGAGTGCTCAATGAACGTAGTTATTATTCTCATTAGCACAGTGCAGGGCACACAGTGGGCCTTGTGTCGCACAGTCATGGTAGACCTTCTGTCACAGCCAATGCTCTGGATCCATGAGTCCTCTCTCCTCCCTCAACTCCTGACTGTGCACAAGTGAGGTTCTAAATCCTCCATCCAGCATCTTCCCTGTCAGCACGGTCCTAACCTCTCGCTCCAGCCTCCTTTCTGTCCCCCCGCAGCCCTGTTCCAGCCACTCTGAACCCCTCACTCAGCTCCCTGCTTACTTAACCTGAGCCTGTGCTTGGCCTCCCTTCTGGCCAGAGCAACCCCCCCTGCCTGTGGATCCTTCCTGCAGGGGATTCCCACGCAGCCATGGAGGCTGAGCTCCTATGCGCCTCCCTCCCTTTTCCACCCGCCAGTGACACCTGCTCCACAGCCGCTGATAATTCTCTGATCCTGGCACACAGGAAGTCGTGCTGTCATTCAGCAATTTGGAATGTCGTCCATTAGACTGTGAACTTCACTGGACAGGGAACCAGGTCTGATTGTCTCTGTGTCCCCAGAGAACCTTGGCATGGAATCCAGCCCACAATGGGAATCAGCAGATGCCAGCCCCAGCCTGCCACCCACCCATCACTCGCATGGGGGCCGGAGGCACTGCACGCATGCGGGACACGTGGGATTTGTGAGGGCAGCTGAACAGCAAGGTTTATAGAGGAACCCAGGGCAGCAGCAAGGTGAATATCCGGAACTGGGTCGGCAGGCTCAGGGCGCAGCCAGCCTAAGCTGGGGGTCAGGGGCCCACGGCCCCTTCACTCCCCCAGGGGCACAGTGTAGGCGGCATGATGTGGGATGCCCCAGGAAGGGCTGGGGCGTAGAGGTGGGCTTCCCTCCATCAGCCCGCGACGGAGCTGGTGCTGAGGGCCCCGTCATTCTGACTGGGGTAGGGGTCTCGGGGACCCCGTTAGGGGCCAGAGTTAAGAAGGGAGGGGCACAGCCCATCCAACGCGTCCATCTGGTGTGGCTATGTGCCAGCAGACAGAGTCCCACATGCAGAGCTCCCTCTGGGCTGCAGGAGGTGGGGGACCTGGGTGGGCAGGCGGACACAGCAGCAGAAGACCACAGGTAGTCTAGTCCAGCGGCCCCTGGAAAATGAGGCGGACGCAGCCATGCTCGCCAGTGAGCCAGGCCCCACAAAAGGGGCAGGCAGCATGGAAAGCGTGGGTGCCATGGGGCAGTGGTGTCTGGGCCCAGTAGCGGGCAGTCTTCTCAGAGCAGACATGGCCACAGGGCGCAAAGGCATGGCTGGGTGGCCCAGGGTCCAGGCAGAGGCCAGCCTCCTGGCCGAGCCACAGGGGCACATAGGGCCCCACGAGGCGGCAGAGAGGACATTCACGCTCCTGGGGGCCCCGTTCTCGCCGGCAGCCCCAGCCGTGGTAGCCGTGGACGTGGCCGCAACGGACGTAGACCCAGGGCTGCTGCTTGTCGGGGGCCGTACGGCCACGGGCTGGACTGGGGAAGGCCAGAGTGCTGAGGCCCACGGGACACTGGGGCCGCGCCGCGTTCGCCTCCTGCCGCTGGGCCTCCAGCTGCTTCAGCGTGGGTGCCCGCAGCAGCCCCGCCGGTGTGCGCCACAGTAGCGTGGCCCCACACAGGTCGATGAGGGAGCCGTCCTGCAGCACGTTGGACTCATTTTCCACCTGCCAGGGGCAGCAGAAGGGCCTTACTGCCCAAGAAACTCCCAAACCCCCTGCCATCGGGCAGCCATCACCCCAGCCAAGCCACCAATCCACCCTACCAACCCTCCCTGGAGAGGGTACCTTGGACCAGGAAGGCAGGCTGGGGCGGAGGAGCGGGGAGAGCTGGGGCAGAAGAGTGGGGATCAGTGAGAAGCCATGTGGGAGGGCCGGCAGGTGCTTCCAGGGAGGCACTGTCCCTCACTTTCTGAGGGATATGGGCCTTGGTCACCTGATCTGTCAAATCAGGAAGTCTGGACCAAAATGGGGGTTTTCTAAAATGTTTTCCCAGGCTCTCCCCGAATGGCAGAGGCAGGAAACTCCTCTATCCAAAACACCGGGGACCTAGCCCAAGCAGCTGTCCTAAGGGGGCTGTGGTTAGAAGCAAGGACTCTGGCAGTAAAGACTGGGTGTGAACTCTGGCTTCACTGTTTACTAACTCTGCGTCTCTGGTCAAGTAACTCAACCTCTCTGTGTCTGAATTTCCTAATCCTCAAGATGGAGTTCACATCTCCATGTATCAGGTGGTTCTTATCAATGACTCACTGTAAACACTTGGGACAGTGCCTGGACCAGAGCGGGTGCTCAGCGAGCATATGCTAGTGAAACAGTCATGTGCATGATTTAAAAAATAAGTGTTGCCCCAAGTCTCCCAGTAGAAGTGATGCTCTGGAAAGATAAACTATGCCTTCCTTTGAGGTTCTGCATCTCTCTGCCCGACGTGCTCACATCCAGGAAGAGCTCTGCATGGCCCATTTGAGGAGCTTGGCCACATGACCTTAGACAAGTTCCTTCCTCTCTCTAGGACTCTCTCAGCTCCTAACCTGAGTTCTCGGATCTGTACCACGTGGAGTGTTACTGTCACCTGTGTCAGAACTACTCCAAGGCCCTTTCCCACTGGGAGATGATAATAAAGCTAAACCCATCTGAACGTGACAGACGCGTTACAAACTGCCAACACTTTTGATTATAAACTGTTCACACACAGGCCAAGTGTCACCCTCATAAGAGGGTGTGATTTTTTAAGCTGCGGGCATCCTCAATGCCACTTGGCACTGCACGGTGTGTCTGTGTGTGCTCCACTTCACGTCACCCATGGACCTCCAGCAGTCTGTGGGCTACACTTGGGGATGCTGGTCTCGTCCTCTCTGTGGGGCAAGTGGCACCTTCCCCCAGATGGAACCTGTTGGGGCTCCCTGGTGCAGGAGGACTGGAGATGCTCTCCTGGCTGGGGCAGGGGGAAGGGCAGGTTGGGAGGGCCTGGGAAGAAAGATGGGGTGAGGCAGGGATGGAGCGGGTCACCTACCAGCTTCCCCCGCTGCTGCGCCGAGCGGCTGTCCCTCAGAGTATACACGTTCCCACAGACAGAGATCTCCCGCCAGACACCCGGGGCTGAGTCCTCAGAGAAGCCGCCTGCTGGGTGCATCACCAGGACCCCATTGGTGGTTAAGCCGTCCATCAGGCCGTCGGGGGTCCGCCATTTGGCCGCCCGCTCCTGGGACCACATGTGGGATCAGATCACATCTCCAAGTGGCCCCCAGCAGGCTGCAAGCCAGGGGTGCTGCCCCTCTACCCTCAAGGTCAGAGGTGGCCTGGATTGGACTGGAATTGGTGCTGCCTGACTTTGGGTATCTGCTGACCTCTCTGAGCCTCATTTCGCTCATTTGTTAAGTGGGCTTGCTAATCCCTGCATAGGTCATGGTTATGATGATTACCGGAGGCTGGTCCATCACCCCAGGATGCTGCCCCTCCCAGCCTACCCCTCTGCTCACTCTCAGATGAAACGCTGGTCCCTGCCTGGGGGGTTCACTCACTCCAAGGAAGATGTTGCTGGAGGCATCGAAGCCAGCGGCATAGATGCGGGCGGTATAGGGCGGCCGGCGGTCACAGAGGATGCGGCAGGCGTAGCGGGAGATGGTGCTCTGGGCAGAGGGGCCCTCAGCAGCCCCTCCTCCAGGGGACGTGTCTGTTACCACAAAGTCGATCATGTTCTCTGTGGAGCGGCCAATCTGTGAGGAATGAGAGGGCAAGCACAGGGATGCTGTGTGCACAGGTCTATCCCACGGGCTTCCCACCCCAGGGTTCCCGGCAGTTACTCTGCATGCAGGGTCATCAACAATGAGGCAGCACCATCCCAAGTCCTGGGGTCCCTAAATCCAATCGCCTGGGTCTGGGGCTTCTCCTTCTCTGTCTCCCCAACAGCTGTGGGGAGCACCACACTCAATAAAAATCAGTTGATTAGCTGATAGAACCATGAAAGGAGTGCTCAAATATTAGCAGCAAATAGTGAATTTTTAGGAAGTATTTACTGTATACCATCCTAAGCATTTTATGTGCAATATCTCAGTTAGTCTTCCCAAGAATTCCTTGGGGTGGGTATTATTAAGGGCCCACCTTACAGATGAGGAAACCAAGGCCCAGAGAAGTTAAGTGACTCTTGTCCAAAGTCACCCAGCTACTAAGTGACGGAGCTGGGATCTGAAGCCTGGCAGTATGACTGTCACACCACACTCTGAACCCCTGAACTGGATGGCCTCCCGTAGCCTGGGAGTCTGATCTTGGGTTTGAATCTTGATACAACCACCGACTTGCTGTGTGACTCTGGGAAGTCAACAGCCCTCACTGGGATGTCCTGCTTCCTCATCTGATGATGACTGCACTGAGTGCCCCCAAAGCACTTTCCCATGGCCTCTGGTCCTCCAGCCTCACCCTGGAACACCTGCAGAGCTAAGTGTGGAGGCCTGGTGGCCCAGTGGCCAGGAGGCTTGTGGAGGGGCCCAAGCATACCTGGAACATGTCTGTGTCACTGTCATGTGTGTACTCGACTATGACCGAGTGGCTCCGGGACAGTGTGTACGAGATGCTGTGCTGGCCACGATTACTCAGCGCCTGGTGGGGAGAAAGGAGAAGTCACTTCCCAGAGCACGTGGCCATGAGAATTGTGAGCCACTAAGCCAGAAGCTGGAGCCCAAGGCCCAGCGGCCACTCCCAGAGAAAGGGCAGTACCACCCTTTGCAAAGAGTGCAGCTGGCTCTTTACATAGGTTACCTCCTTTGATCGCTACAGCCACCCCAAGAAGGAGGCATGATTGTTATTCCCATTTTGCAGTTGAGCAAACAGCAATTCAGAGAGGAGAACAAACTGGCCTAAAGTCACACAGCTGGAAACAGCAGAGCCCAAATTCTAACCCAAATCCTCTGAAGCCAAAGGCTTTTCCTTTGCCATTGCTGTGTGACTGTCACATCCTCTCTGAGCCTCGGCTGCCTCTAAAATGATTCAGATCAATCCCATCCAATGGATGGGATCTCGTGGTCAAGGAAACACTTTGCAAACTGTAAAGGACCGTGCATACTGCAAGGGATCTCCCATCAGCACCACTTCGCTGGTAGCCCAAGGCAGGGAGTGAAGACACAGGGGGCTCCCCTGTGCCACTGGGGCTGGGTGCAAGCAGGGCTGAGAAGGCTGAAGACCTGGACTCGGGCAGGGAGGGCAGGACCAGCGCCCAGGTCTGCCGGGACAAGCTGCTTGCCTTGGAGACGAGCGGTGTGGAGATGTGGTGCATGACGTCTGGCTTCACTCCATTAGCATGCGGCCGGCGGCTCAGTGCCAGACGGCTTCGCCGGCGGCCCTTGTCCCCACTTGCCAGACACCCATTGTAGCTGCGGATGTGGGGGGTTAAGAAGAAACGGTTGCAGGGAGAGAGAGAGAAAGTGAGCCCCTGAGAGACTAGGGGGAACTGCTAACTTCTGGGCAGATCCTACCTTCAGAAACAAGTCCTAGAACCCGAAACTAGAACACCCTACTATGTCAAATCAGTGCCTTTGGGAGAGGGGTCGGGCTTAGAACATCTGCAAAAGGCCTTTCATTCAATTAACCAATTCTGGATGCCTGAGCCATGTCTGGCCAGGTGCTAGGCGCAGGGGTGGTAAAGATAACAAATGACAGGTCAGTTCTGTGTCCTCAGTGCCAGGGGAGGGGGACCCTCAGCTTTTCAAGGAACCCAGGTACTGCCTGAAATTACCCAGGCACAAACCAAGTGTGCCACAGGCCCAGAGGCAGGAGAAGGCAATTCTGGCCTGGGGATCAGGTTTCTGGGAGACGGAACACCTATACTAGGCCTTGAAGAACTGGAAAGGATTCACCCTTAGCAAACTGTCGTTTATTATACCACAAGTACTACTGGAAACCAGAATGAAAAAAAAAAACCAGACCCACAATGCCACCACCTCCATATAGCCATACACGTCAAATCTCTACCTTCCTTTCCAGCTCTTGTCCGGAGGGAATGATTGTGGAAGGCAAAGATGGGGTGAGTCATGGCCTTGATTGCTGCCATATACTGGAGCCTCCCGTGTTCCCGGGGCTTCGCGTTATTAATTACCTAATGGAATCTGTGCAATGTCCTGCCAGGCAAGTATCCTTCCCATTTTACAAATGAGGAAAATTGAGGCTCAGGGAGGCGAAATGACTTGTCTGAGGTCCCAGGTTCGTAAGTGGAAAAGTCTAGACTTGAACTTGGGTCTATCTGACTCCGGCCTCTGTTACAGAAGCGCTTTTAGATGGAGGGCTCACCCTGAGCAAAGGCCCTGAGGCTGGGTTTGGGGAAATCAGGGAGTGGTGACTTGGGTGGTAAAGTGCAACAGGGGAAAAGCCCTGAACAGCAGGCTGAGGGATCTGCACTTTATTCTGTAGGCACTGGGGAGCCACAGAAGGTTCTGCAGCAGGGAATGACAGGATGAAGAGCTGCCAAATACAGCCAAGGACCGCCTGGATCAGAATCTTCTAGTGAGCTTGTTAAAATGCAGATTCCCTGGCCCCACTCATGGAGATTCTGATTCTGTGGGTTTGGGATGGGCCCGTCAATGGGTATTTTCAATGCACTCTCCAGGCAGCTCTGGGGTACAGCCCGTGTGGGGCTTCACTGCTCTGCAGAGAACAAACAGCTGTCAAGAGGGCCTGTAACTTGGGGTCTACACTCTCCCCCATCAGTGGCCTTGCTCTTAGCTGCAAAGCCAGCTCTTCCTTTGGGACACCAAGCAGCTGCTTTTGAGGTCACTTTTGCCCTTGTAAGCTCTTCCCACGTATGGGGGTTGGGAGAGTTCAGGAGTCAGGCTTGGGCCTCAGATGGGCCTGACTTAAATCCTGGCTCTTCCTCTTATCACATGACCTCTGTAAAACGGTGCTAATTTATCAGGACCTACCTCGCAGGTTTGTTGTGAGAACTAAATGAGATAAAGCATTTAAAAATGCTTGGCACAGAGCTTGGCGTATATACAGTAAGCCCTTGATAAAAGTTAGCTATTATCATTAAAAAAATGAAAGCACATGGCATGTACATGTCAACAAACAGTAGCCATTATTATTTCTAAATCATCAGCCTTATGATAACATTATGTATCCAATATTTTCTTCAGGGCAGACGGCAGAGAGAGAGGCCAAAAGGAGGTCCGGATGGGGGAGGAGGAAGAGGGATCCGTGCCTGGGGGAAGAGATAAGTGGGTGATGCAGGCAAAGGTCTGGTCAGGCACAGACCAGGAAGGGATGAGGTCTACCCAGTCACCAACTCATGTCGCTTCCTCTGTCCTGGCCTCAGTTTTCTCATCTGTAGCGTGAGGGTCAGCTGCGGCTTAGTGAAAGTGGACTAGACCTAGATTAAGAAAGACCTGGGTCCAAATCCCAGCCCTGCCACTTACCAGCTGTGTGCCCTTGGGCCAGTCACTTCCCCTCTCTGAGCCTTGGTTTCCTCACCTCCTTCCTCACAGCATCTTTGTGAAGATTGAAATGAAATAATGTCCATGAAAGGGCTTGGCACAGGCCTGCCTCCCAGAACACATGACACGTGCCAGGCACTGTTCTACGTGCTTTACAGAAATCACCTCATTCATTCCTTTCGACAACCCTCTGAGGTATTATCATCATCCCTATTTGTAAAATGGGAAAACAGAGGCACAGGGAAGTAAAGCAACTTGCAGAGGTAGGATTTGAACCAAGCAGTTTTGCTGGAGAACCAGAGTTCTTCACCCCAGACTACACACACTCGGTGCTCTATGAAAGGCAGCTGATATTACTTTTTTCTGATCTAAGTTTTTTCTGAAACTTATGTGGGCAGTTAGAGTTGTCTCAATAATTTATGACAAGTGGGAAGACAAAACTCTTACGAATTGAGGTGGGTTTGGTCAACTTTGTCTCTCTCTCTCGGGGAACTTGAGGAGGGACCAACAGCAGAAGGCCACACTGGGGAGAGCTGGGGCCCTTGATCTGGCTGCCCTGGGGGATGCCTGGTGCCCCACCCCACCCAGACCAGGGATGCTCACCCCAGGACGATGAGTTCACCATACTTGATGGGCTCCTCGCCTGGCTGCGCATCTTCACCAGGAGGAGAGAGGTCGCAAGAGCCCTGGTTTCCAGGGTGCCGGAGGTCTGAGGTTCTGGGGGACCCCACTTCAGGGTTTCCTTCCAGCACCATCCTGGGCATAGTGGGAGAAAAAACAGCTTTGCAGCCTTCTACCCCAACCTCTCTCAATGCCAGCTTTTGCCTGCTGCAGGATCACCTAAGCTAAGATCAGTGACCTTTCACCCCCTCTGTTGCTATGGTGACCACTTCACCTCTGCCTCCCCTAAAAACTGCTCCGGGGTTGCTGGCATATCAGGGAAGGGATATGGATGAGATGGAACCAAGAGGGAGGGGCAGCACAATCAGGGGGTCAAGATATTTGGTAGGGTCACAGGGATGGACCAACTTGGGGGTAGCCAGGACCCCAGTCTGGGACACGCTTGAAAGAGGGGGCAGCTCAAGAGTTGGGGCCCTTACTCCTCATCTTAGACTCAGTTCTTGGGTTTAGCTCTCAGCCCGGAAACCTGAGTAGTCTTCTGCCAGGTTCTTGGAATTTATCTGTCCATCAATCTTTCTGCCCCTTGGCAGGTCTAGGCCTGTCTGTCTGTTTTCTCAATGACTCTCTGTCCTCCTCGCCGCTGTCCTTTTCACCGTCTCTCTTCCACCCTCCTCCCCATCTCTGCCTGTCTGGCCACCTCCACCTCCCCATCCACCTGCCTCAGTCTCCCCATCTTGGCCTTGCCCTGCAGACAGGCCTCTAGACCCCTCCCCGATGCGCGCCCCCTCCCTCCCTCAGGTGTCTGTCTGCAGTCCCCCGGCCGCCCGGTCTCCGGAGGCCTGCGGGGGCGGCTCTCCCCCCTCCTCCGGCTCCGGCTGCAGCAGAGCCCGTCTCCGCAGGAAGCCTGTTTGGAAAACATCCCCGCGCAGGAGGGACTGCGCCGGGGCAGGCCCGCGCCCCGCGCCCGGGGCAGGCACAATGACGGCCCAGCGCATACGCAGATACCCACCCGGCGGCCCTCCACACAAACACGCGCGCGCACGCACACAGTCCCGCACAGCCCGAACCCCGCGGGTACTGCCCGGACGGGCGCACAGCCCACCCGGGCCCGCGACCGCAGGCGCCAGGGCGCAAACAGCCACAGGCGCCGGCCCTCGGACCCACTCCCCCTGCCTCCCCCAGGCACGCTAACACGCCCCCAGCGCCCGCCGGGGCCGCCTGGCGCAGCCCCCGCCCCCTCCGCCCCGGCCGCCTCACCTGGCCTCGCCCCGGGCCCCGCTCGGCGCCGCTCCTTCCGCGCCTCGCCCCTGCTCGGCCCCGGGGCCGCTGCGGCGGGATGGGCCCGGCCCGCGGCGGCTCCGCGCTGCCTCGTCACGGGGACACCCGCGGCCCGGGGAGGGGGACGAGCGCGAAGCGCCACGCCCCGCCCCCTGTCTCGATGCCCCGCCCAATATGCCCCGCCCCCAGGAGAGCTCCCGCCCCATCCTAGACTCCGCCCCTTGCGGCGAAGCTTAGCCTTAGTCGGCGGAGTCCCGCCCCTTCCCAAGAGACCACGCCCCCTCAGGGCCCCGCCCCTGGCCCTGGGAAGCCCCGCCCACCACTCTGTCTCAGGGACTCCCTCCACCGTTTTCCTTGGCTCAGGGACTCCCCGTAGTCTACAAGACCCCTCCCCCATTGGGGGCTCCCCAAACCCCGCCCTCATTTCTGGGGACTCCGGGGATCTCCCGGAGATCCGGGTGCCGGCTCACCCACCGAATGCGAGGGCCTTCGCAGTGAGCGGGAGGCCCCTTTCCCCACATTAGCCCTGGGACTCTCCACCTCCCGTCTGAGACCCCGCCTCCCAGCTGGGGAAGCCTCAGGATTAGAAAAGGAGCGGGGGCGGGAAGGAGAGAGAAAAAATACCAGATGAGGCGGAAGAAGGGGTGTGCGTCAGCAGGGAAGTCGAGGAAAGCCGCTGCGTTTGACTCGAATCGCAGACCTGTCTTCCAGCCCAGCTCAGCCACTTTCTCGCTGGGTGACCTCCGGCTGGCTCTGGGTCCCCGGGTGTCCAGAAACACTCCCCTCCTGCCCTCAGCATGTACACACTACCCGATATCCCGCAAAGGGGATGGAGACCTTTGGGGGTGCACAGCCCCTTACGGGCCTGGGCTTGCAAGAGATCTCGTCTCTCAGTCTGTTCTAGGTGCTGTACGCTGTGCTTTGAGCAAAAGAAGCCCTTTAATTCCTGGAGGTGGGAATTGTTTTTATGACTAGAGATGGCAGGATGGGGCTCCCAGGTGCAGAGCAGGAGAGACCAGAGGTGCATCAGATAAGATCCCTACAGCACATTATCTCTGGGACTATAACCAAGGCCTGGGGGAAGGCCAGAGGCTAGACCCTTAACCTGCGTCTTTGGTGTGCGTGTTTTATTGAGGAAATCAAGGAAGGCTACACAGAGGAGGTGGCCTTTGGCCCCAGTCATGAAAAATAAGAGAAAGTTTGCCCTCACCTTCCTGAGAGAGAGCATCCCACCCACCCAACTTGTTGTTTGTGAAGCTCCCAGTCTCCGAGACTCCCCCTGGGCCCCACCACATCCGCACACCCGACTAACTCCCCCACCTAAAAATAGTCCAGGATACCAACTGCTTTGCCAGCTGTTCTGGGGCCCCAGCAACCAGATGAAACAAGAAAGCAGCCGGCAGCATGTCCTTTAGGGACAAAGGCACTCATTAATCAAAGAGAAACTCCCAGAGAGGCCACCGCCAAGCAGGCTGGACTGCTGGGCTGTTGGCAGCAGGTCCTACAAATCCTGCACCACAGAATAGCTCCCATCGCTGAACGCCTACAGTATGCCCACTTTCATGCCAGGTATGCACAGTCACCATAGAACGTGGGAACACTGAGACAGTCTCCTCCCCTTTGCACTCCCAGCTTCCAGCACATTGCCTGCCAGAGCAGGCCCTCGGTGAACAGGTGCTGAATTACTATTAGAGTCCTCAGTTTACAAATGTGGAAACTGAGGCTGGGGGGCGGGGATACTTGCCCTAGGTCATACAGCCAGACAGGTATGGAGCTGAAGTTTGAGCAGAGCTCTAATGCTACCACCTGACGCCAGACTGCAGGGAGGAAGGGCTGAGAGAAATTGCCTGGATTCACTGCAGGAGGCAGAGACTCCTCCTGGGGTAGAGCGCTGGGATCAGAGCCACGTGGTGGGCATGCCCAGACCACAACGGGCCTCTGGGAGCCTGGGGTTGGCCTGATCCCAGCATTGGTCAGGTGGTGGAAAGGAAGGGCGAGCTGGGACACCACCAACAGACGCAGATGCCCAAGTTCCATTCATGGCTTCTGGATGTAAGTCCCATGCTCTATTCTCAGAACTCCAGCTTCTTAATCTCTCTAGGCCTCAGTTTCCTAATTTGAAATGTGGGAATAATAATTGCACCTACCTGTGGTGGGATAAAAATTGGCAGTATTGTTCTGAAATCCCTTTGTTCAACCCCTTCCTTCTCTCTAGATCTTGACCCTACTGCTTCAAAAAAAGGGAAAAAGGAAGGAAGAAGATACCACTTTTGTTTCTTTAATTCTTGGTTTCAAGTGCTCAAAGATGAGGGGCTGGCATAAACAGTTTGGAAGAATATTTGTGTATCTAGTTGAGAAGGAATGTTGAAAAAAACAAAACAAACAAAAAGCAATAACAATAAGCTTTTTCTGTGCTGGGAGATTTGGAGAGGAGAGAAGGAAGAGCTAAGATGCTGGGCTCTGCCCTTGAGGCCTTATTGTAGGTGGGGGGTGGGGTTGGGAAAAGAAAGAACCCTCGGATAGACTTGGGGATCCAGAGCAGAGGGGGCCTGGGCCTCATTGCTGAGGCCGAGCTTTGGAGGGGAGCCCTGGGAGCACAGTCAGGGGAGCAGTGGGTGGGGTTTGTGCCTGTGCCTGCAGGATGCGTAAGTGACACAGGAAAACCTTGAAATTTCTGTCCCCAAGAAGGGCAAAGCTCAGAGAGGTTGTTGGGAAGGGGTGTCATACCTGACAGGAGGTAGGGTCAGCCTACCTGGATTGACAACCAGAGGCCAGACGATGCAAGTACCTCAGTAGATGCTAGTCAGATTCCAGAATCACTGGTCCACAGGCCTCTGGATCTTCCCAGTGCCATGATGCTAGGGAAGTCTTCTTGGATCTGAGAAGCCATTCCAAGTAGAAGAGAGGTGAGGAGGCTGAAAGACTCAGAGTTTAAATCTGGAATGACTGAGGAAAGCTGAAACCTACTAGATGACACTGTCCCCCAACTGGTGCAATGGGGACTGGAGAGAGACGATGTTTAGTTCTGGAACAGGGGTGAGCAAACTGCAGTCCACAGGCCAAATCCAGGCTGATGCCTGTTTTTGTAAACTATCTTTTCTTGGGGAACAGCCACACCCACTTGCATATGTATTGTTTATGGCTTCTCTCATGCTGCAACAGCAGAGTTAAATCATGAGAGAGACTGTATGGCCAGTACAGTGTAAATATTTACTGCCTGACTCCTTACCAAAAAAGTTTGCTGACTTCCATTCTGGAAGGTGATAGAAGTTATAATTTATGCTCCCTTTTATAATGAAAGGACTGATGGCTTAAATATATACACTTGACACCCCACGTGGGGTCATTGTAAGGATTAAACCAAATGGTGCTTGTAGATAGCTCATCTCAGTGCCTGGCTGTATTAGTTAGCTATTGCTGCATAGCAAATTATCCCAAAACTTAGTGACTTAGAATAATAAACATTTATTGTCTCACGCAATTTCTGGCAGACAGAAATTTGGGAGCGGCTTAGCTGGGTAGTTCTAGCTTGGGGTCACTCATGAGGTTGCAGTCCAGTGCCAGCTGGAGCTGTAGTCATCTGAGAGCTTACCTGGGGCTGAAGCATCCGATTTCTATAAGATTCACTCAGTTACCTGGCAAGTGAATGCTGGTTGTTGGCAAGAGGTCAACCATTCCTTTCCATTTGACTTCTTAAGGATGCTTGAGTGTCCCCACATCGTGACAGCTGCCTTTCTTCACAGTGAGTGACCCAAGAGAGCAAGGCAGAAGCCACAATGTCTTCTATTTTTTACCTAGCCTCTAAAGCCACACGCCGTCATTTCTGTAATATCCTGTTGGCTACACAGATCAGCCCTATTCAGTGTGGGAGAGGACCACACAAGGGTGTGAGTATCAGGAGGCAGCGATCGTTGAGGGGCATCTTGGAGGCTGGCATCACAGACTGCCGTCTGACTCTCCTTCCATATTAAAAATGCACTCCCTCCCCAACCGCCCACGCCATCTCACCCCATGACCGCATCAGCTGGAAGACCAAAATCTCTTCCACTTAATCCGGGTCCGGGTATGCATAAGGCTACCCAGGCATGGTTCCTTGGATACAGACCCTCAAGTACAGTTCTCCACCTGAAGACCTGTGAACTAAAGAGAGAAGTTATCTTCTTCTTACACATCCAACAGACGATGGTGGGACAGGCATAGAATCGTTGCCATAGATGCCCTCCTGGCCAAAAAAGGGCAATACGGGAGGCACACAGGAGTCACTGGTACATGGTAATTTTGAAACCTAGCAGGACACAAACTGGCATTTCTTTGATTAAAACTCAAAAACCTGGGAAGAATTATCCATGACTCTTGGCTCCACCCTCTGGGCTCTTAGCTCCATCCCCTGAGTCATCCTTCCTTTTCTATGAAAGGTAGCCTGATAACTGAGTAGTTTTCTCAGCCTGGTTCCTATCTATAGAAGTTTGGAGGGGGCTGGCCCATGGCCGAGTGGTTAAGTTTATGCGCTCTGCTTCGGCAGCCCAGGGTTTCACACGTTCGGATCCTGGGCACAGACATGGCACCACTCATCAGGCCATGCTGAGGCAGCATCCCACATGCCACAACTAGAAGGACCCACAACTAGAAATATACAGCTATGTACTGGAGGGCTTTGGGGAGAAGAAGAAAAAAATTAAAATTAATTTAAAAAAAGAAGTTTGAGGGATCCAAGTGCCTGTTTTTCATTTATAATATTTCTGTCCTTTACACTCCAAGTTGGCCGTATTTCTGCCAATACAATTCTAAAAACTTTGTAGATTTCTATGAATCTTATTGGGGTTCACTCCATTAAATTTGGCCCACAAATCTTTTTGAGATAAGCCCCTCTTGACCTTGGGCTTATGCTGATAGACAATGCCTGTAAGCTTCCTGAAAGACTTATTGGTTGGCTGAAAGGTTCTATTGCCTTAGACCTTTCTGGGGCCTTAACAAGGGATTTCACAGCCATACCTGGGGCTTCCACCTTGTGCCGTATTTTCCTGACAGTGCTCTGTATTTGCTCTTTTCCCAGAAGCCCTTTCTTATTTTTAGTGTGGTTGCTGTCCGGAGAGGCTGGGAACTCTCAAAATCTTCAAGT